TAAACATGTATGCTTGTATCCCATGAATATTTGTATGTATGAACATAGCACAGGGCTCAAAATTTCAAGTCCTGAGCTACTAGCCAGGCCTTAAGAGTTACTCGATTTAGATATATTGAAACATGATCATCTTATTGTTAATATTTTTTTATTATTATTGATTTATATTTTAAAAAAAGCTTGTGTCCGAGTTTGAATTTTGTATGCACTAGAGGGAAGCCATTTTGCTCATTATATATATGGGCCCGTTAAATATATGGGCTATGCTCCCTCCCTCAATTATGCTGCATAGTGAATATACTGTACTGGTAATTTTTCATAATGTATGATTAAATTCCATCTGAAGTAGTGCACCTTTGTTCTTTCCTCTATACCTTAAATTTTAGGGAGAACACAGAATAGCATAATTTAGCATATTATAAGGCTTAAAATATGCTATTCTGTGCTCTCAATGCCCTTCCACCCTGCACTGTATGCTGGTATGGAATAGATGAGTAATAGCCATTATCACAAGCGTTCTTGTAGTGTGGAGAGAGGAAAGGGGAGTGTCGGACTAGATAGGGGGTATGTTTAACCAGGTCTGCTATAATACAGCATGCACAGGGCAGGGTGGCCTCACTCAGGTGCCTGTTGGATAGTGCAGTCATATTTAGACAGGCTCTGAAACTGCTATAACAGGAAAAAACAGGTAAGACCATGAAAATTAGTTACCGCTGTTGGACAGTGCAGTCATATTTAGGCAGGCTCTGACATGACTCTGCTATAACAGGAAACTAGAGGTAAGACCATGAAAATGGAAGTTGTTAGTACAATATGTACCTATGTAGACCTATACCTACCTACTTACTTACATAGATATAACTACAGATACCTACTAGAAAGAGACTCTACAAATCTGAAGTATTCTCTTAAAAATACGGGACAGGTAAAAATGTAACAAACACATCACAAAATTACCTTCAGAAAAATGTTCCAATAATTAAAATAGGTAGCAGAAATGCTATATAGATCTCGTCATAGGATTAGTACTTTTCAATAGGGTTAATTTAGCGTTAGTGATTAGTTAGGATAGTGTTACTGGATTCCATTGAGCACTGAAATTGCAGTACCAAATGATTTAATATCTCTTAATTTTCTTTTGGGATCATTAAATAACAGCAATAATAGCAAGGAGTAACGTAAAGTAGACCATAGCAACCAATTAGATATTACTTTAATGAAGCCAAACCAATAGTAGATGGGCCTTTGTGGTTTATTTTGCTTAAATCAACATTTTGATATATCATGTTTTAAAGAGGATAGCACAGTCTTGTAATAAGCATCATCCTGAACTTAATCTATGTTTTTAATCCACTTGTAATTCTTACTTGCCCTTGTTCTCTGAGTGGAGATAACCTTGGTATTTGTGACCATTAGTGATGAGAAAATGTGCTTGGGATTATTTTGCAGGCCGTTCATCAAACTCATCGTAAATTCCACAAACAGCTAACTTTAATCCAAACCCCACAGAGGTCAGTGGGGGGCGAACTTTGAAAATCAATTGTGGTCATTTTCAAAGCTAATTGGCAAAGAGCATGGGGAGCTGGGCACTGGCATGTACCAATGCAAGAAACAATGTAAGAAATACTGTTCAGTGGGGAGAGGGCCCTCTGTTTTATACGACTTGGAGAAAGAAATGGTAAAAACACCAATCCCTCACATGACATGCTGGAGAGATGCCTTTAAGTTGTATGTGATGAAAAGGAACTGTAGGATCCTCACGGACAGCGTCAGTGACACCATATTCTGGCATTTCATAATTTGCACATGTAATTTATATATTTTTTTTTTTATTATTCTTTGGTTTACATACAGCATTAGAAACCCAATCTGACTCATTAAAACTTAGAACACTGTTTTTTAGGTAGTTTATGCTGCAACACCTGATTTTTTTTTAGCTAGCAGAACCAGGCCACAATTGAGCGTTGGAAATAGCAGGCATGACAGATCTAAAAGCTATCTGAAGGTTTACACTTCAAGAAAATCAAGCTGAAGCCCTCAATGTCATACTAGTTGCCAACCAGTGGCATCCCAGTTTCTTAGCATAGCTTGTGCTCTTGTGATCTGCAGTACCGCACTGTATTGTCTACAAGTTATTAAAATGTCAACATGAAGTAAACCAAAGCACTCAAAACCACAACCCTTCATTGCAAAGATGAGGCACTTGATATCGTGGAATAAAAATGACAGTGCTTTATACACCATATACAGTGCCTTGCCTTGCCTAACCCGTTGTGGCTCCCCTGAATGCTAGCACGCTGAATACTCTATAGTGCTGGATAGGGCACATTAGAACGTGAGTCCATTTCTTTTTGCTTGTGGCTTTATTCCTAATCAAGATACTTTTTATACAGATATGAAAGGATCCTGTTGGCCCTGAGGCAGCAGGAAGCCTTCCTCTTTCTCCTGCTTCTACTGCACCTCCAGTGCCAGATCTATAACCATCCAGTAAAATCCAGTAGGAACACCAGAGGAATTGTGTTGCTGATCCCCGCCTTGTCATAACTCACCATTTTGGTCACCTCATTGAATTAGGACAAGATGGTACACCACAGGGAAGCAACATTGGGGGGGGGCTTGGCTGAGGCTGAGCTTCAGGATGCCGAGCAGAGGATCATCAAATTTGTGAAATATTTGCTGATCCTTCCGTGTACTGAGCAAACTAACAAGTATTGATCAGTCCGGTGTTTGTAAATAACTGAGGACATAGTAAGCTTACTATGTCCCCAGTTATGAATGAACAGGAAGTGCTACACATCAATTCCTGTTCATTCATGATCAGAGGCACAGGGTAATCACTTATTCAGTTTCTGAATTGACAGGTGCACTCAGTACAGAGGCTTCCTGTCCATTCATTACTGGGGACCGTACTATGCCTCCTCAGCTTGTGAATTAACAGGAAGCCTTTGTACTGAGTGCTCCTGTCCATTCAGTGCTGGGGGCATATAAAAAGAGACTGTGTCCTCAATCTAATTTTCTATTTCAAAAGGGAAATATCTGGGGTTTTTTTAGGCCCCTGATATTTCACTGAAGCCCCCCGACAGTATAGTTAAAAAAATAAAAATAAAGAAAAAAATAATGAAAAATAGTTTAAAAAACCACCTCCACACACAAACACACATAACATGTGGGGTATGGGGGCTCAATACATGCCTTGGTCCAGGCCTTAGGGCTGGAGCCTGGGCCTCGAGGGTGTCACCCCTCCAAATGCAATTTTGTCTGCCTGGAGGCCATGCTGGTCTAATCTGAATCATGCTAACGTTACCACTGAAGCAGAAAGGCCCCTTTAGCTTTGTGGGGCTAATATGCTTCAGAAGTTCTCTGTTCGGAAGAAACTTCAAGCTGTAAAAGCTGTTGAGTAGTTATTATTTAAACACATAGAACCATATATACTCTATAGCACACATGTACAAAAGCCAGCACAAGATTTGAGTAAAGGTCAAATAGCCTTCTGTTTACCTCACTTGCTTCACTTGCACTGAAGAGTTAAAAGGGACCTAGACTCAGCCAACCTTATCCTTCACACAGTGTGAGACAAGTCAGTTGTGAATGATATAGTATTTATAGTAGGCATTCTGTAGCTGCTCTTTGCCAGGCCCTCTTTTCATCTATTGCTATTATCATGTCTCTGTACAAAGCTCTTCTTGTTCCTAGATCCCAATCCCCATGAGACCTTCAATATATTAAAAAAACAGCAGTAGGCAGAGTATACCTATCAAATTCCTGAAAAGCTGCTATGAGGCAGGAAGAGCAGATTGTGCCTTGGCACTGCCACATGCGAGGAAGTGCTCTGCTGCTTCTAACCATGAGTTATATGCTAAAGTTACATTTTACTGATTGCTTTGTCACATTGAACTTTTTAAAATCCAAAGTCAAACTTCACATTTTTTATATAGATCTAACTTTCATTCAAAAATAGAGTATTTTAAGTGAGCACAAAATGGTGAATTATTTTTACGTTATTTTGTTTACAGCATAATAAAATATGGATATTTTGCAATATCATAACCAACTGTTGAAAAAGTGGTCACAAGACATGCAGTTTGTGAATAAGACTTAAAATACAACTGCAGCCAAAACGTTTTTCTAGTGGTTAGAACATCTGTCAGGTTTCTTTTGCTATCTGTGTTCCTGTTGTTGAGAGGCATCCACCCTCTCATTTTGTCCTGGTGTCTATTGCCACCACAAGGTAAGGTGGAAATTCTAAATGTTATTGCCACCACTTTCCCTCACTTTGGGGGTATTTACAGGTGGTAAAGGGAAATCTCCTGATCGGAACACAGGCACCAATCAGCACTTGCAGAAAATGTCACATTTCCAACTTTACTGCATGTAACACTAATGTTTCAGTTGATGTATAAAGAAATAAAACATTTTCGGAGCTCTAACAATTATCCACCCCAACCAAAGCAATTGTCTGGGATTCTTCTTCAATTCACTTACTCTTTTAAATGTTCTTAAATGTTCTTATGTGTGCTGCAACAGCAGCCTGTTTATTTTTGTGTCCTTGGTATGTTTCCCTGTTCCCCCTTCTGTTTGGTGCAAGTTAGCACAGTCCCTAGCTGGGCACTCCCTGCCTCTCACTTTACTGCTCCATTTAGTTTCACTTTTTTAAGTAGAGACATGGCTTATCAAAGTTTTTGTCTTTTTACACTTTAAAATAGTGGAAAAATATCCTTTGATTTATTTGAAGTAAAACTTTAAATTCAACTTCTGCATCATACTGAATAGTTAATCTGCCTGTTGATTCTGCTAACTCAGCAAGTAGCCATACTGTCCCCACAGACCGGGTTCTAAGGAGGTATGTTATTGCATATACAGTATCAGTGTTTGAAACAGAACATTTTGACACCACAAGTGGGGCATCAAAGACATTCCATAAACCCCTTATCCAACACTTCAGGTTAAGCATAAAACGTAATAGGCTCCAGATACTTTTAAAAAGACTGTAGAAAACTTACAATCTCAAATAGTTTGAAAAAGTCAATGCTGGCATAGAGGACATCTTCAATCCTCTGTAACCTCTGCTGAGACAAGACACACATGGCGTTGCGAACTGTGTGCATTCCTCTGCGGCTGGTGAAGATAATAAACCGTTCCAAGAGGGTCTGGCTGCAAGCTATGTCTTTCAGGGCCAGGTCGGGTATTCCGGAGGCAAACTGTAATGGGAAGAACACAAAGCAAACATCAGTTTAGCTTGAGAAAAGATTAACTTGCTATAGAACATGCTACTTAAAGAAAATTTCTATTTTTTACAACGAGAAGTTGATCAACTTTGAATGACAAAGACTTCACAGCTGGTTAATTTGAGGAGAATGTCATCCAGACAACACAGTGGACAGAACTTTAGAAGTATTGGGGACAATATCTGCAAGTTCAGTCATCTGCATGAGTTCCTTTCCAAAGAAAGTAATGGTAGGTTCTTGACTTTTGATAAAAAGGTGTTAGTCTGTATCTCCTATGTGAAAACATCCAGCCAATCTACTTTTGTAACTTGCTAAAAAACAAAACCGAAAAAAACTTTGAGCTCAATTGAACCCTTGTGATGTATTACTGTAAAGCAGTGAGGCTACATTTCCAGTAATAAATCTTCTGTTCTTTTACGTTTTTACTTTTTTTAAAGTGCTGCACCAAGGGTTGAAAAGTCAGACTGCTGCTCTCACACCCAAAGTAGTGGCTTGGCTCTCCAGTGGTCCAACATGCCCTCCTCAAATATCGTTCTAATCAACAACACTGTGATAGCAAAAGCACAGTTGATTGGAGCATTGTATGAGGGGGAAGGGGGGTGTCAGATGGCTGGAGACCCAGGCCACTACTTTGTGTGTGACATCAGCAGTCCGGCTCTCCTACGTGGTGCCAGCACAGGGTGGTTTCTTAAGCCATGCTGCAGCAATAAGTAGCTTAAAAAAGTCAAAGAAAAGCTGATGTATTACTGTATAGGCAGCCTGGCTAAATGTAAAATGGTCAGCTGTCCAAAGCATAGACGTTAGTTATTTTTAACTTGATGACACTAAACAAACTATATGGACTTCGTATTGCTGCACTTAATGGATTTCATATTGTTGTTCTTAAAGCGTATCTCAAGCTGGGTTTCACCATAGCCAACATAGTTCTTGTAGGGCTGTGAGGGCTGCCACCCACACATCATGTTGCTGACTGTGTCAGTAACACATTCCTCTATATAATAAACTAGGGATCGCCACTCTGTCTTTTAGTGTACAGCAGCTATACTTACTGCTCTGGGTCAATACACCTATGATAAAACTGCTGTAACAGGGGTGTAGCTTCCCCTACCCTTCTAGTTGTCTAGGCATATTGACTTAGAGTGAGAAAATGGACCCTTTCAGTCTTTCTGATTCTAGCCTCGGTGTCTCTTGTGTGGCTAAGATTTCTGTTTTCGGTATTGTGATATTAAGGCTAGGCAGTCGGTTGCACTAGAGGTAGAATGGCATAAGACTGTTTGCCTAGAGTAGGCAGGAAGTATAAATCTTGCTCTGATCTCTAGACAAAGTTTTTTTATTCTTAGTTTTGGATACAATATGGACCATTAGAACCTTAACAGAAAGTTGTTGTTTTTTATTTTTGATGTCTGAAAGATTTTCCGTTACTTCCTGCCCCAGCCACGTGATTGCCACAACCACAGGAAGTAAGGGGAAAACTCTCAAAGAAAGACACTTTTTGTTGGTAGACAGGGAAAGCTAGAACCTCTATCACTGTTCCCATTGGAGATATCTTGTTACAGTGACAGCATTGTCACCAGGACAGAAAGTAAAAGAAAATCTTCAGTGGGATATAGAAAACTCAAAATGGACAAGAGTTCCAATTACTCCTTATTCCATCCCTGCAGGACATTCTGTTTAGCAAATTCAAAGTTCAGAGAACTGCAAAATAAATAGGCACATTTTACTGGAATCTGAGCATCGGAAATACAGATACTGCAGGTTAAAAATTAATGGGTATATTTTAGGGCTGGTAATGATTAAAATTTCGATTAAGTATAATGCACATACAGATCCAACTACATTGGCCTATACACATACAGCAAAGCAATTAAGTAATAAAATGAACTAGGATCACACTAATCCAACACGTTATTAATCTCACGTGCCCATGGCCGCCGTTTCAGTGGGACAACTCATAATAATAACGTGCTGGATTACTGTGATCCTAGTTCATTTTATTACTTCATTGCTGTGCTGTATGTGTATAGGCCAATGCCTTGGCTGGCGCTCGTGCAGAAAGTTTCTTACCGGCCCAAGTGACTCCGTCGGCTAACGAAGGGGGGAGGAGTCCGGTGACGTCACAGACATCGACGTCACCGGACTCCTCCCCCCTTCCCTTCGTTAGCCATCACAGACATCGACGTCACAGGACTCCTCACCCTTCCCTTCGTTAGCCGACGGAGCAACTTGGGGAAGGGGGGGGGGAGGAGCCCGGTGACTTCGATATCCGTGACGTCACTGGATCGCCGACGGGACTCCCTGAAGGCGGCGAAGAGGTGAATGTTTTCATTAGCGATCAAAATAATTTTAATTGAACAAAAAGTTTAACGATTAATCGAGAAATTCATCTTTAATTTCCACAGCCCTAGTATATTTGTAATACTTGTGAGTAGACTGAGTTACATTCGGTATAAAAGCCTTGCAGACACCCTGTAGTCACAAAGAGGCTTTTGGGGCTGTAGAGAAGTAGACAAAGAAAAGTGGAAGATTTTTGTATTTTACTGTATCTCTCATATAGGTACAGCAGAAATATCAAGGCCCTGTACATGCATAATATAGTAAACTAAGCAATGCATGATATTTACAAAGCTTATTATTTTTCTGCCTTTACTTTCAATGTAGCCAGGAAAATGATTAAGTGAGAGTTACCCTTTAAGAGCTACATATGAAAAGGTGCCAAAATTGTTTTTTTAAAAGCGTTCCAGTAGTTCAAAATTATTGGTAGATAAACACACATGGGAACACAAACAATTGCTATCAAATGAATATGGATCACTAAAGGTGCCCACACACCTTGCGATAATCGTATGATTATCGTAAGGTGTGTGGAAGCCGTGCACCCTCTACTACTGTGAGGTCGCACGACTTTTATCTTAGGAGCATGTTTGAAAACCCGCCGAGAATCGTACGATTTTCGGTGGGTGTGTAGCATGTTCGTAAGATAATAGCCGGACGGGCCGGTGTGCGCAAGTGCACACTGCCCATTCGGCATTGCGGTCATCGGAAGGCCGCCCCTCAGCGGGGCGGGCTTGCGATCATCGCTAGTACGATCTGCCTGTCCAAGATAGGCAGATCATACGTTTTTTAAATTACCTTACAACCATCGCAAGACAAGAGTCTTGCGATGGTTGTAATGTGTATGCCAAGCATAATTATGCCTATGTAGATAAAACAGTCCTTATTCACTACTATTAGCTAGTACAGATACCAAATACAGTACTTGGTACTAGTACAAGTGCATATACTTTTCCAGCTCCAAAACTAGACTAGAGAAAAACTCAATAGTTAGGAGGCAGCTGTCATTTTGTGGGAGAAACAGCTTTTCTAAAACAATGCAGACCAATGATTTCAGGACTGTGGTGGAGCGCCAGGGCCCAGTCAAAGCTGTAACTTCTGCGACCCTGGTATTTCTCATGAAAAAGCCAAGTATCGGCACTGGTATCTGAACTACTTTCTGAACATCCCTAACTACTACAATTGCTGGGTGACCCCCACCTCACTGTCTTGTGAGAGCTGTGGATTCTTGCAGTGCCTCTGGAATTTTTGAAGGATTTGGATGGTTATGGGTTTATGAGTGTCCAGCGCATTGTGGACCTATGTTGACATAAGAAGTGATATACTAAATTAAAGTGACAATAAATCTTAAATCTTAAACATGCATTCAGCTACCTTAACTATTACCAAAAATGTATCTTACTTGTGTATCATTCAGATGCACAAATCCTCAATTCATTTCTGAATTGGTGCCGACACTGTCCTTCCTTCTGGAGGGTGGCTACTTCTTTTCCCATGGCCCCTGTGTGTGTTGTAAAGAAGCCACCGCTACAAGCTCACTCCTATGATGGACTGCATTCTCAGTACAAAATGGTAAAGAAAACATGAGATTGTAGTCCATCACAGGATTCAGAGATGATTTGAGGATCAACAGTTGAGTGATACACAAATAAGATACATTTTTGTTAATAGTTAAGGTACTTGAATGCATTTTTAAGGTTTACCTCCTGAGTTTAGTGTCACTCTAAAGTTTCCAGATAGTGATTTAATGTACTGCATATACTGTATATCAATCAAATATGACCCCAGCGGAAATTCCACAGACTTCCTACAGTTCAGTTTTTATATAGAGAAACCTGGATTACTTAATGTGTTACGAAAAGAACACCTGATCTTAGGATTTCAGTCAATGAAAACGTTATCAGTATGTCATCATTAGTCTGGCAAACAAGGTAATAGGCCTTCTACATACAGTATACATATTTATCAGCTAAGAACAGAATGGAATGTATTTTGTTACAAATCAATATGGGAAATGAGAAATCATCAGACTGGAACTAATGTCAGGCTGGGCGTATTTAGTTACTTATTGCTGGTTTTAGGTATAAATGTATGCTTCACTGAAACAGATGGCTTAAGCGATTGGGTGGAAGAATAATACAAGCATTCAGCACATGCTCAGAAACATGGAGACAGAGGCTCATTACACCACTTCTGTGTTTGAGAAGTCACTCTATAAAATGTATGTATCTTTACATACAGGAATACTGTAGAGGTATGTTAGGTTATCTTAAACATTTAACTTAGAGATGTATTCCTTAAAAACCAATACACTTACCTTAAAAATAACTTTTAAAAGCTGAATCTGACATTATGTTAGCTTCCTTCAATTGCATGCACAGCAGTAAAAGAGGGCAGTACTGTAGGCAGAGATGCCCCTAGGGTATCGCTGCCTGAGGCCGGGGAGTTGCTGGTAGTGACATTCTGGGAGGGAGTTGGGTTATGAGTGGTTGATGGGGGTGCTGGTGGTGCACACTAATGACCCTCTGGCCGGTGTCCAGGTGGTGCATCACCCAGGTCTGGCCAGCGTCTCGCCCTTCTCACTGACATCACTGGTTGCCAGGAGCTGAGCAGGATGCCGGCTTGAGCATCCCAGGATGCTA